TATTATTAGTCTCGCATAATTCGACTATCAGATAGCAAACCAATAGCAGTTGATTTCAAAGTTACTGGCACAAAACTTCGTGATTGATTATATAAAGTATTTTGTTGTTGGGATATATAATTATGTTTTATTTTATTTCGATTAACATGTTGTGGTAATAAACGTTTAGTTGTAGTTGTTATTGATGGTTTATTTTCACAGGATACTATTTCAGGTATAGTTGTACGTTGAATTGTATAACATCTTGATATATTTGTATCTCGTATTGATAGACGTGTACTAGTTTCACTAATTGAACGACGATTACTATCTGTTCTTGTTAATGATGGTGAAAGTGATGGTGTTAATTGAATAATAGGAAGAGAAGGTATTGTTGTTTTTATTTGAGATTGTTTTTTAATTTTAATATTTCTATCTTGTGTTTCCATAAGACGAAAATGAAGATTATAATTAGAAAATCGAAATGATTTTTTTCCTGTTACATCAATTGATTTTTCATATGTTCTATCAATATTTTGAATTGTTTCTTTAACATGTGATTTATATGGATGTTGAATAATTGGTGGTAAAATTGATGATTCTTGTATAATATTTTCATCATTTATATCCATAATAGGTGATTCTCTATTTTCTTTTTCTTCATTTAATTGAAATAATAAATTTTTATTATGTTCTTGAACACGTTTTAAATAAGTTTCATGAATAATATCAAGTCGTTTTTGAAGACGTTTACGTAAATATCGTTTAATATTTGGTGTTACTTCATCATTTGTCATATCAATTAAATCAACAAGTTCCATCATACCTTTTTCATATGCTAAATCTCGACATGTAAATGTTCGTTGTCGAATAGGATAGTTTGTACGAAAACGAAATTCATGAAGATCAGCTGCATGTTTAACATTAACTTCTAATTGATCAATAAGATATTCAGCTACTTCATTACGTTGTCGTCGAATAGCTGCCATAAGAAGAGATTCAGTAAACTAAATTAATTATGATAATGTATATATAGTTAATTATTGATAAAATTCAATAATAAAAAATTTCTAAAGACAAAATTTTCAACAAAATAAAAAGAAGACTAAAAAGTTGAACTATAAAACGATATTTACATTTGAATGCAAATGTTAAATGCAAATAACATAAGGTACTTGTAATTTAAAATTTCAACCAATGTTTTTTTTTAATCTGAGTGAAAAGCACACATCAAAAGAAGCTTTGACAAGGCATAGATTTTTAAATATCATGAAACAAATTGCTAGTTTTCATATATACATGAATATATTTCTTATTTGTTCTGTAGAACATTTTTAAAGATTGTATCCTAATTCTTCATGTAATATTGATTAGAAAAAGTAAATTTTTAAGAATTTATTTTTCTTAATCAATTTTAAATGACATTTGATATTCTATGTCTTGTCAAAGTTTCTTTTGATTGTCGCTTACAATGATTTTGCATTACTCCAAAGATACATTTAAATAAAATTTCTCGCACAATGAATTATTGATGCTTTAATAAGTTTCAAAATTTTTGTTTTCTTACGCGTGTCATATTAGGATCAGCATTCTTATGTTCATTAAACAATCGTTCTAATCGTTCGATTGAACCATCTTCAGTTGCTTGAAAAAATTCCTATAATATTTATATATTCATTCATTCATGATTTAGATATTTATATTTATTTAACCTCAATTTGTTCCGGAGTAAGTGAATTTGTTTCTGAATCAATATCTGTTGATGAACGTCTATCTTGCTTTAATTAATAATTAACAAAAAAGAAAAAAACTGAATATAATCAAAATAGATTACATACAAATTTATCTGATTCGTGTTCTTCTTCGATAGTAGTTGCTTTTCTTTTTTCTTTTACTAACAAATTTTAAGTAATATTTATTGAAAATTTAATTATTATCTTACCATTCATTGGAAGTATGTAGACACTCACTTAACTAGCAATGCATGTCATTGGCTTGCTATACTTTTCATAAACACATTGTTTGTCAATCAGGCTGCACTCTTGTATTCCCCTGGCCGTAACCGAACAGAGTAAATAATAGCAAAAAAAAAATTGTCCTCGTTTATACATTTTACATCCTTTCTCTTCTACATTTAAAATATAAATTAACAAAGCAAAAAAAAAAAAAGAATTATTCCTGTAGGGTATAAATGACAAAAAACCTCTTTAAAACATACGATTCTTTTTTTTCTTCTTTCAAAATGAAAAAATGTCATGCTCATATATGAATTTTATAATAGAAGTAATTTGTAATAGTAAACTTTACACTTATAATCATATTCATCTATATTACTGACTCAAGTCATTCCATTTTTTATTAATGAAAACAAAATATTTCATCACATATTTAAAGTAAATAGGTAATATAAGAAATCTTTATCGTTTTTTTTAACTACAAAAAAAAAATAATGTTTACTTAATAATATACATATTAATCAATTTCTATTTCGTTCATTTTCAATAATCATCAACATGGCTAATATACACTAGAGTTCGTGCGGTTGATTTCAGACCTGCGTCTGAAAATTTTGAATTGAACGGACACTAATATCCACTTTATCAATTCGTAATCTATTGAAGAAAAATTTATAGTTATATTCCCTATCATTCATTCGTCCTATGTCACATTTAGGAAATATTTCACATTACACATATTATAAATGTAATCCCAGAAGCACGTGTTAGTTGTTGCTAAAGGGAAGATTTCAGTGGAATGTGTCCTTATTAGACATGTTCAAAACATTGTACGTAGATATAATCATTGTATTCAACGCAATTTGGATATTTTATATACACAAAATCAATTTTGTTGAATCTGCTGGATATTAACCATAATCATTTTATCGTGAACGTATACTTTATACAATAGTTTTATCATGCTGAATGTGTGTAGATGAGATTTGATTTCATGGAGATGAAGTTCTACTTTGAATAAGTAGCATACATGTTGATGCACTCGATTCACATAAGTGTCATAAGATATTAGAAACATTTATTAAAGAAAATTCAATAGTTTTGTATGAGAACATTGCTTATAAAGCACATTAAGTTTTTTGTTCATATTTAAACAACACTTTGTTTTTGTCAATAAATATTTCAAAGAGAAACATTGTTTTTATGTTGTTCGATGACTCAAACGAGCTGTATTTGATTTCTATAGGTAGCATAAACATTTTTGCGAATATAAGATTGTAAAAAAGAATATCAAATGGAAAACAAATAAAAAAAAAAGATTCATTCTATATATATATATATGTATAAATGGTGAAATTAGCACTATTGGTTTTGATTACTGCTATACTGATAACTCCTTCCAAATTATGATCATATCATCGAATTTCTGACTTCTGAAATGTTCTTCTTTTTGTTCTGTTCAATCTAAAATTGTGCCTATAAACAGATTGTACGATCATTAAGATTATAGCTAAACGAAAGACTTCATCACAAAATATTAAATTCTACAAAATTCAAATTTTTTATCTTTTCTAATAGTATACTTTCGTTTTACTGCAAATTTTAGCACATTCAGATAGCTTTCTTGAATAAAAATGATAGTGTTTATTATAATTGTAGAATATAATATGCTAACCTATTATCAGTAATCGACCAAAAATAATTATCTATTATATTTATTAAATATATATATATATTGTCCACTAGTACTAATTCATTTTTTTTTCTACATTATACATTTCTCAATAATTATAAACAGGAAGTAGAAGAGCATGTAAACCACTCAACTATGCGAAATCAAACGCTACAAATGTTTTTATATTTATACGATATTTTTATTTTCTTTAAATATCATAAAAAACTCGATGAACTTGAATTTTCACTACTAACAATTAAAATGTATTCGTTAGATAGAATTAACGTTAGCCATTTTTCATATTTTATATTTGAAAGAATGAATTTGATGCGAACAATGATTTATTTATTCAAAATCAATTTTATGTTTTCTATAAATTGATATTGAATATATACGTGCTTTTATTGGTAGCTGTGATAATAATGATCGATTAGTACCATTAATTAATGAATATTTAAATACTTTTATTCCATGAGTTATATTGAAATTTATTATAGTGTCTATTATTCGCTAACTTTTTACCCTTGTTGGGCCATTTTTAATCCATTCATAGAAATTATCTATTTGGAATTATAAAGGATCGAATCGAGACATTTTCCGAACATTGAGCAGAGCCTTCAATAGGCTGCAAACTCGAAAAACAAATGAAACTGCTTTTCATCATTTCTTGGTTAAGATATATGTTAAAAAGTGATGTTTTTTCAAAAAGTCTATTTTTTGATTATGCACTTCAACGTCAGAACGAACATTATCGAAAAGATTACCGAAATAAAGATCACGGAATTTCTTTCAATGATCTATATTAATGATCTTCGCTTCGGCGACCATTCTTTTCGCTCATCATTTGGATATATGCTGTATAGAATGCTGACCTCATTTTTGACCAATTCCTAATGGTTAACATGAAAAATGGCTTGTCTAGAGTTATTTTTTTTTCGATATCAACTCATAAAATAACACGATCTTCATGCTAAAAACTTTATTAGAACTAATAATTAATCAAAAAAGCATTCTACGGTCATTTTTAAATAACTTCTTGTGGATAAAAGATCAAAACTTTCAGCTTCTGTTATGGTCTTCCTTCACGACGTGATCTTAACAATAGGAATGGGAATCAGAACCAGTGATTTTCTTATTATAAAAAGAAAATAGAGACTAACGATTTTGGCAACGAAAGACCTGATTTCACTGCCTCTGCAGGTGTCTAATCATATATCATTTTTCAAAAAATAATTCATGATAAGTAGGTTTCCAGCTTGATAAAGATAATTGATTCATTTTTGACTCATTCTTCATCTTCACAATGAAATAACATGCATGAGATCTTTTTTGTTTTAATAAAATTAAGATTATATTAATTTGACAAAGAAAAATAAAAAAGAAAGACTAATCTATGAATAATCAAGTTCTTCATCATCAGTTATTGATAGTTGATTGCATTTAATTGGTTTACGATCACCATTTGATAAAGTATTTTGTTTTTTTAATACTGGTATATTTTCTATATTATTATCGTCGTCATCATCATCATCGTCATCATCTTCTAATGTTCGTTTTTTCCTTTTAATAGGTTTTACAACTGGATCTGTATTCGTAACCGAATGTAATTTAGCTTGTCGTTCTAGAAAATATCACAAACAGAATAAAACTAATCAAAATCTAACTTGATTATTTTTTATGTACAGAAACACCCAAGTCAAATAATCAAATCTTTGATCTACAAAGGTTTTCACCTAGGCAAATCTCTTTTTGCAAAAAAATCAATATCATGGACTAAACCAAAACAAATGAACGTTTCTTTGAGACTTTATAGATGCATGAAAAAAAACTTATCACATATATATCTAAATGAACATTGATCACGATTATTGAAAAGTCTCACCTATATCAATAAAATATACCATTTCATTTTGTGAATATGAAAACATAAGGTTTAGAATAAGAGCTGTCAACTAATTTGATTCGAAATGATTGTAGGTATGGAGCTGTGGATGCTTACAGATGCGGACTCGGCCGGGTTCGGGTTCAAACTTTTATTTTGTTGTCGGACCCAGTTACACGTTTAGGTGAACCCCTGCTCCCCATATGAGAACCACAGCAACAAGATATAACTGTACGTTGAGTTTTTTTTTCTGAGAATAGCGAATAAATAGCTAAAACTTTGATCCTTTACTTGTTCATGTACACGAAGGGTGCTAGGTATTGATGAAAAAAACCTCGGGTCTGGACTCGGTCGAGTTCGGATCCACAAAAACGTGGACTCGCACAACTGAGAGATTGTTTATGACATTCGAAAAAAAATACTTTAATATATCTATTTATTTCAAATAATTAATCATACTTGTAGCTACAGCTTTTGATGATTTCTTTTTCATTGTTTGTTTTTCATTTTTTTTATTTATAATCGATGGTGTATTTTTAGTATTTTCAATAATATCAAGTAAAATTTGACAATTTTCATTTTTAACATATTCAGATCGTGGTCCTAATTTAATATAACAAATAGTTGTATATGATGTAAAACGAAAATTTTCTTTTAAATATTGATCAATAATTAATTGTAAAATAAGTCTTTGTAAATCAAGTTTAATCATTGTTTTTATTGATAATTTTTCAATTAATTTAAGTGCTGTTAAACGTTCTTTTTTATTATCATCTAAATAATTAATTATAATTAAAGCTTCTTCACGACAATTTCGTTTTATTATAGATATTGATGAACGTGTACATATATCACACATTTGATTACAATCATTTGATTGCCATACTTCATCAAAATATTTTGCAATTAATTTTCGACGACATTGAGATTCATTTAAACAATAAGATATCATAGAATAAAGATTTTTAAGACCATTACCTGATTTATCTGAAAATGCCATTGGTGCTAAACGAAAAACATCAGCAAATCTTAAATGAAAACAAAAATTTTGTTAGTTTAAAATAAAAGAAAAACAAAAATTTATTCTACCGAAAAAAAAGTATACAATGTGATTGTTGATCATCACGTCCAGCACGACCACTTTCTTGATAAAAATTTTCAATTGATTTACTTAAAGAATGATGTATAACAAAACGTACATCGGGTTTATCTATACCCATGCCTGTAAATATAATTAATAAAATAAATTAAAATATATTGTAATTTATTAAACAAACCAAAAGCAATTGTTGCACAAATAACATGAACTTGATTTTGTATCCATTTTTCATGTACTTGTGTTCGAGCAACAGATGTAAGACCAGCATGATAACAACCAGCATTAATATCTATAAAAATTAATTTAGTATTATATTTGACCGAAGGAATTCAATGAATTCTGATAGTTGACAAGTTCTCTTTTGGGAAATATGATCTCAAAAAGAATGTCAAATCACAACGGTAAATATTTTGAATCCCATCTAACTGTTGGTATCTAAGCGGACATTAGGTAAAAAATTGAAATTATATTTTTTCGTGGCTTAATTAAGGCAACATATACTCTTATATATGAATTATTTAATGACATATAAGTCTTAGTTCCTCTTGTTAGCATTAGGTGAACAACAGAACGAAAACTTCATCGAAAAACACTGCTAGTAAGGATTAGCAACCTTTGGTACTATGAATTAAAAACATAAGGAGAAAACACTCGCGTGAAAATTGTATGTAATCTAAAACTGTGTCTTTCATTCTATCAATTCATAACAAAAAAAACTTTCGCTTTCATCTATTTAAGATTGGAAAAGTCATTCTTCTTTAACATCGAATGTTTTTACGGAAATGTGTTCAGTGTGATGAGCTTGCACAGAATGGTTCTCTACAATAACGCCCACATAGCGTTAGTGCGTTCCCAGCCTGAATTAAGATTTTTCTAGGAAATCCTCAATTTTCAATATAAAACTCAATTTCTTCGATATAACAGCACTTTTATTAAAGACTAACCTCATATTTGAAATCAACATCAAATGATGTATAATTTATTAGTCTACTGATAAAAAAATTTTTCATGTGTACATAGAGTAAGAGTCTTTCACAACGATTTTTCAGTGAGACAACACTTTTTCAAACTACGCATACATTTGAGAGATGATAAAGCAGTATAGCATAGTAAATAAAGTCTTTCTAAATAAAAAAATTGCATGTCCATCTAGTCTATGGAAAAATGTCCACCGCGCTATCTAGATTTCAATGATTATATTATTGTCTTCTATTTTGGAGCATCTCTTATCTATTTCATTTATAACTAAACATTAATCTAGACTTTTTCAAACTAATGTACATAACAGAAGTCGTCATTAGGATAGAGTAGGGCAAAATAGTTTACTCTATTAGTATTTTTTCTTAAAAAGTTATTTGAAAGCGTTTGTTAAATGTACATATGAATCTTTCATAGTATGTGCCATCGATGTAATGTCATCAGCAAGTGATAGTTTCATGTTTTCAATCAATTTCATTAGAACTTTACAAATGTTAAACCCATTCTAATTCATCATCATTCATATGAACTCTTTCAATTTCGTAGAAATTCAACATCTCTTATTACATCAAAAGGATGTCTAGCAAATAATCTTGGCTTGCTGTGCTAAATGGTGACGAATACCTTCGGTCCAAATAAATGATGATATTCAATTACAAAGAATATCTATTGTTATCGATAGATATCTTGTTTTTTTGTATGAATATTTTACTAATATTATGTATTCATGCAAAAAATGGCAAAATATTGAACTTAAAAACGATTATTATTTCATCAACAATAAATTAAAATGAAACTATTGTCACTCGATTATAATCTGCCTTTTAGCCATTAATTTTGATTTATTTGAAATTTTTCTAATCGATCAAAGTTTTGAAAAAAAACCAAAAACTATTCGTTTACATCAGATAAAATAAAACCATTTTAACCAAATTTATGGTCATTTTTATACTTGGATAGTATTCTTTTATAATGACTTAAACAATATATGAGCTCTGAATATAAAAACGATTACAATTATTCATTAGGTTATCAATTCATTATATATAATTAAGCTCAATTTATATGTCTTTAGAGGATTCTGTACTGTTCTATGACTAGAGTCAGTCGGGTTAGTCCCGGAACTGAATCCGATCGGGTCCGAATCTTAAAACTTTCTTTTAAACGAATACGAAAATTGTGCATCCGACGAGATCTACTCGTCTGAGAATCGTTTTGGGTGCGCTCGTCGTCGAATACAAAAATGGAAAAAAAAATTTCGTATCTTCAGGATGACTATCCAATTTCGATTAGAAAATTCCATTGAGAATATCGAAGTTCAGTTCGATTGAATCTGAAATTTTTCGAACCCGACGAGTTCTACCTATGATGGTCTCTGATATATATATATATATAATCAAAAATGCATACGTACTGTTTCGTTGTAATTCAAAGCATACATCTTCAGCATCTTTTTGTGATAAACAATAAACAATACCTTTGTTATTTGTTAAAATCAAATAATAAGAATATTAATTTCATTTTTAATAATTTCTAATTCATACCTGATTGTTTATCAAATCGTTGTTGAATACAATATACAAGATCATTTAAAGCATCTTTTCCAACATTAGATTTATGATATACTTCATAGAAAAGATTTTTTCTATTGAATGGTGCTCGAAATAAAATACATTTTTGAATTTGAAGTATTTTTCGAATATCATTAATCACTTTTAATGTTGCTGTAGCTGTTAAACCCAATATAGGTATATTTGGAAATTGACGTTTAAATATTGATAAATATTTATAATCTAAAATAAAACAAGTAAATTTTTATCTTATTGTTTTGTTTTTTTGTTGAAATTAAATCAATATAATATTAAACTACCTGGTCGAAAATCATGTCCAAATTGTGAAACACAATGAACTTCATCGATAATTAATCTTGCAAATCTTTTTGCTTCATAGAGTTTTTGTAATTTCGACATGATTATTTTATTTTTAGCAATTTTTTCTATAAATGAAAAAGAAAACAATATTAATTTAATTGAATAATATAATTGATTATTTTTTGCATGTTTAAAAAAAACATGCCTGGTGTTAAATAAAGAATTTTTAATGTTGAACCACTATTATTTCTTCCATCAAGTATATGCATTATTTCTGTTTGTTCATCACGTGATGTTGATGTATTAAGTGAACGTGCATCGATATTCAAATTTCGAAGAGCATAAATTTGATCATCAACTAAAGATATTAATGGTGAAACAACAATTGTTATTCCTAAAAAAGAAAGAAAAACAAGTTTAGATTTCTTAGATTGATACAGAATATGATATTACCATCAGAAATGACAGCTGGTAATTGATAACATAATGATTTACCACCACCTGTTGGCATAATTAATATACAATCATGACCTGCAAGTGTAACATTGATAGTTTCAAGTTGCCATGGTCGAAATAAATTTATTTGAAATATTTCTGTACGCATTTCGTTTACTTTTGAACTCCAAGAAAAATCTAAGAAAAAGAAAAAAATAATTCATTAAATATTTTCTTTTACATACCCGTTCGTTGCCATTGTTCATGGGAGTTATTTGTTGTTGTTGTTGTCTGTTGATTTCGTTTGATTGTTTCTTTTAGTTGTTGTTGTCGTTTAGTTAAGTTAGAACGATGTTGACGAAGTCGATTTATTTGTTGATCGATGTCACGTATTTCTAATTCAATCGCAATTAATTCATCATTATCATACGTAGTTATTGGACTACGAAACAAAATAAATAAAAGTAAAAATTAAAACATTGAAAATTTACTTGTTAATTTGTTCAAATTGTCTAACAGTATTAATTGAATTCATTTTCTCATTTTCTTCATCAGATATTACAATACAGTCCATTTATATATCGCATCAAGACTTAGTTGATTTCAATCAAATGGAAAATGTATTAGTGAATGAATCACATATATGAACAGAAAGAAAAATAACTATTAGTGTTATTTATTTCTTTCGAGTTTGTGATTTTTCATTGGTCTCTTCTTGGATGCTTCTACATGACACACACAACTCTTAAAGTGGAGAAGAAATTTTAAGATAATTTTTGTTTTTCGTTTTTTTTTTCATCAAAACAAACAACTGATAATAGACATTCAAATACTATTAAATGTACAATTCAATGAACTATATTTAATTATAAATATTTTAGAAAAACTATCGGTTATAATTATTGAATATTTATTAATATTATTAATTAACAGTTATAGAAAAATCTTGGCATCATCTTTGGTTTTGAAGTAGACCATAAGAAAGAGTATTGAAAATTAAGCAAAATTGTGTATTTTTTGTTTTACAACAATCGATTTCAATAAGGTTTTTTAAGTGCTCTTTTAGAATTTAGTTAATAGTGTATTAATAATTGAGAAAATTGAGTTTTAAGAGACAGCTTGAAAACTTTGAAAAGCAGTGTATGTTGTAGAATCGAGTTTGTTCTATCAAACGAGACCTAGCGGTTCTCTGTACAATGTGTTATTCACGAGATATAACGAGTTGAAAATAGTTCAGACACAACAAGGTAAAAACAGTAGCTAGAAATCATCGCTGAAATTACTGATAAAAAATTGAAAATGTTGTTTCAATTGAAGATTGTATCGTAAAAAAGGCTGCTAGGTCTTGTTTGATAGAACGAACTCTATTCTATAAAATACACTGCTTTTCAAACTTCCTCTTAAAACTCAATGTTCTCAGTTATTAATACACTATTAAATAAATTCTAAAAGAGTACTTAAAAAATCTTATTAAAATCGATTGTTGTAAAACAAAAAATATACAATTTTGCTTAGTTTTCAATACTCTTTCTTATGGTCTACTTCAAAATCAAAGATGATGGCAAGATTTTTCTATAATTGTTAATTAATAATACTAATAAATATTCAATAATTATAACCGATAGTTTTTCTAAAATATTTATAATTAAATGTAGTTCGTTGAATTTTGCATTTAATAGTATATACATTTGAAACTTTCTCTCTCAATTTTAATTCACATTCAATGTTTTGATTCCACAGATCAGACAGATTAATATATGATCGAAGCAATTAGTGAATGGTGTATGTGTATCTGTAGATAAACTATATATTGATTTTAAAATATTGTTTTCTAGATCAATATTGTAAAATATATATATATATATATAAGTGACGTGCAACTTTTTGATACGATTGACATGAAAAACTGAAAGTAGGCCTAAACAATTTCTGAGTAGTATATTTTACTATACTCTATGTCTGTGTTAAGTAGATAAAGTTCTCCACCACTTCACCGAATGATAAAGAGAAATATATGTTGTATAGTTTAATTTCTGCTTAATTCAATAATAAAATTGACTTTATTCGTTGAAAAGGTTCGAGTCATTTTCAGCTCTATATGAAAGAATATTTTCGAATGAATTGAACTAGTAATATCTGCTGGAAAATTGTCACTCTACATTTTGTAGTAAAAGGTAAATTTCTCCTGATTGGTATATGGTCCAGACCTGCTATTTTTATCACTAATAGAACTCTTTGTTTTATATCTACTGTAAAAATTTGAGCTAAATCGAATGCATCATTGAAGAGTTATAAAGCAGACACTTTTCAAAACGTCACTCTACAAAATAAGTCTAATATTTTTTTCAGGAAGTCCTGTTATCTTTTTTCCGTAAAAAAGTTGGTTAAAGAAAACTTTTTCTCATCAGTTTATTACTGAAAGAGTTCTCTTTCTTTTCATATAATCTGCACACCATCATTTCTATCATAGACAGAGCTAGAATCAAATTTGTGCCATTCTATCTGGAAACATACAAGTGTCGAACGCTGTACAAAATAATCTAATTATATCCTTTTTCTCTTGCTTTTTCATCGTCGATAAAGATTTCTCTATCCTTTGCATGTATCAGCAAAGAATGACGTTTTTTTGTAACGTATCTTTCATAAATGAGCAGCAGTATGAGCTAAAGAGCTAAAATTTTATGTGGTAATGAGGTATTCGAAGAAAAATAACATGTAAAAATCTTGTCGAAAACGATCGAGAGAAACAGAAACTATTAGTCAAATGCAGCTAAAATCTCAACTGCACCAAAAAGTTGCAATTCACTCGTATCTTGTTGGCTTTGTATACTATACTTAGGTTTTCATCCAAGTCAACGACAAACTTAACTAATTGATCTGATTGACAGTGGAGAACACTACAGAGTAAGGATGAGATAAAGAGGAAAAGCGTGACTTCAGTACTTGAGAGTACTAAAGTCGAGCTTTTTCTCCCCTTGGTACGACGGCGTCAAAGAGTGTGAGAGTACGATTGTCGTCGGTCTTATGCAACACCTACACTTAATCGAGAAATAATAATGTGGAATGAATGCTGAAAAAAATTTCGTGATAAAAATACTTTCACTCATGGCTTTTTTAAAATGTAACGCGAATAGGAAGAACCGAACTAATAACAATGGGAGACGGAAGCCAGATATCATCTACTTCAAAAAGAAATTGAAGTACAGGTAAAATACAACTGAAGTTTGCATACATGAAGCCTTGACTGTTTCTCCTTGCATATACATATATATATATATATATTATTGATAACCACACTGCTAAGCTATCAATCATATCATTAATAATCAATTGCACTTAAAATGATATTAAACTTGGTAAACTGAATTATTCAAATAATAAAAGACGATAAAGAATAACACGAAGATTTCCAAAAAGTTTCACAAATGTTATTTATATCTCGTATTATACAATCGATATACTATTCCAAAATACAATGAAAAACAATAAAGAAATGACATCAAATAACAATAAGAAAAGAAGAAAAAACGAGGAGAATACAAAATATATTTTATTGATCTATATTCATAGAGTATAGAAATATTGAATAGAAAATTATTAAAACCTTTCCAACGATTAACTGAATCATTAATTGTTGACTATATAGATTAATCATTGCGAATATTTTAATAATTTTCTATTTAACACTTTCATACCTCATGCATATCGCTATATATATCATATCCTTACAGCTACATTTTTCTTTTTGGAAACACCATGATTTTCCCGATGATTCGGTTTGGTCGATTTCAAAATGACCGTTAAATAATAATCACAAATAAAAATGAACTCTTTATTATAGGAATTATAGATTTTAAGTGAGAAAACAAAGAAACAAAGTCTTTACGAAAGCTTATACAGACAAAAATTTGAATCAATATTGGTCCCTAGCTGTACTTTTTGGTTTACAGTATAACCTCTCTATACTGGATACCATTCGAACTTTTTAAGTGTTCTCTATAAGGAGACTAGATCTTTTCTAAAAGCATAGTTTTTTTACAAAAAACAGACGTGCTCTATAGATATCTGAAAGGTGTTACTGAATAAAATAATTATCGACTGCTCATTGGTACTTCTCTTTTCATGCATTTATGTTCTTCGAAAATTACCTATCATTGAAATTTCCCTGTCATGGACACATTTGGAATTTTTCAAAACTATTCACCATAGTACTATACGACGATGTCCACTATGAGGAAGTTCCTTTCCAACAAACGAAAATGATAGTTGGGACTTTCAAAAGTGTCCCTATACAGAAGTTCCTTCTATGCGAAGGTTCAATATCAACAAAACTCTTCCTGTCGGATCGTGAAATGTGTACTGTACGGAGGTGTTCAGTATGGAAGATTTCACTGTAATGATAATATTTAAAAGCTAAAAAACAAGGAAATATTTTTCGACTAAAACCATAACATTTTGGCCATTTGTGCCATTATTCCATGGAATTGAATTGATTGTATAAATACATTACATGGTGTTTATACCAAAAACCTGAAAGGTGCAAAACATATACAGATACAACATCTGATTTATGACATAGTTCCAGATCATTTTGTAGAACTCACATATACTTTCGAAGAAAATAGTGGCTAAGTTTTAAGTCGAAGTTTTACGGCTCTTCCACCCAATTATAGACATTTAACAACGGACTCCGTATTAAAGACACTCCCTATTACACACTTTAGCAACTGAGAATAACAGCCCATGTGTTCGAATGCGATCGAATTGCGACGCAGTTACGCGTAACTGCGATCGCACTGTGACCCGTAATTGCGGAAAATTGCGGCGCAGCTACGCGTAACTGCGAATTTCTTACCGTAGCTGCGCGCAACTGCGACGCAGTTGTTAAAAAAGTGGCGACATGGGAGGCGTCAGACTTTCTAGAGTTTTTTTTTGCAAAAGTAATCAAGTTATAATTTTGAAAAATAATGAATATAATTGTTTATGAGTTAATTAATAATAGGGCATAAGGTTTACTGTAGATATCATGGATATGTCAAAACAGACTTATTTGTCAATTAATTCAATGATTGTAACAAAAAGAATGTGAAAATAAGAAAAACAAATTAAAAAAAATGCAAAATAATGAGCGAATAGAGAGTAGGCAAACAAAAACTAGAAAGCCCGTAAAAAAATAAAAAATTTCTGTTCGAAATACAGAAATTAGAGATATCCTTACTCTGATGATCGAGAGTGTGGGTGTGGTTGTGAGAGGATCTAAAAAGAAGATCTGCGCCCACATCACACCCACACCTATACACCCACATCCTGCATGAGCGCGAGTTTTCTCACTTACACCCGCAAAAAAAATGTAAAGATACGGGTTTTCTGAGTATGTCTTTCTTGCAACAGGATCACGTAGGTGTAGCTAGCAACCAATTCCAGTAACTCCAGCGCCGATTTGCTCAGAAAGCGTTCCAAGTGTTCTTATTTCTCTTCCAAGTAGATTTCGACTTACTCTATCGAATAGTGAAATCAGATTTACAGTGTCTTGAACATACTTTCAAAAATTGGAACATACTGTTTTTCGACAAT